GATTTCTTCCCTCGTCGATTTCTTTCCTGCTTTTATACCTCGATATTTTGGTACTTGTTTCCCTTCTTCCCATGCTTCATCTTCCACTCTCCTCTCCCCATTTCCCCATTTTTCTTGCGATATTTATGTGGGAGACTTCCGTGATAAGCATCCATTTGCTTTTGGAGAATCCTTTTAAATAAATACAATACAATACAATACAAAATACATCATATTCGGTGTCAGGTGTAGCCATGGAAACACTCACATACATCATATTCGGTGTCAGGTGTAGCCATGGAAACACTCACATATCTCATATTCGGTGTCAGGTGTAGCCATGGAAACACTCACATACCTCATATTCGGTGTCAGGTGTAGCCATGGAAACACTCACATACATCATATTCGGTGTCAGGTGTAGCCATGGAAACACTCACATATCTCATATTCGGTGTCAGGTGTAGCCATGGAAACACTCACATACCTCATATTCGGTGTCAGGTGTAGCCATGGAAACAATCACATACCTCATATTCGGTGTCAGGTGTAGCCATGGAAACACTCACATATCTCATATTCGGTGTCAGGTGTAGCCATGGAAACACTCACATACCTCATATTCGGTGTCAGGTGTAGCCATGGAAACACTCACATACCTCATATTCGGTGTCAGGTGTAGCCGAGGATGCTCTAGTAGATAGTTTACTGGTGGTGCGGGGTGCCGGGATCACTACATCGTCGTAATCGGGAATCGGAGAAGAATTCGACGAGGATGCCTCAGCGCTGGTGGCTGTAGCTTTTGACTCCTTCATCAAACACACAACAACACGGACAAATCCAGAAGAAATGCTGGTAAATGGGGGGGGGGGGAATAGAACAGAACATGATTCGCCACTACATGTACCTGAAATGAAGCAGTGTTTTCCGGTGCTGTAACGGATGACCTGGAAGAGCACCTTATTGGAAGGTAAAACAGGTTCATGGCTGCGTCATGGTGGTCGCTTTCAAACAGCTCACCAGCAGCTTCAAATGGTCGTGACGTAAAAACACACACAAACACACACGCACACACGTGTACAAACACACACACACACACACACGTGTACAAGCACACATGCAAACACACACACACACACACTCGAACACAAACACACACAAACACACACAGAAAAGTGGACATGGAAACTCGAGTGTGTGTATGCACACATACACACACACATACGCACAGCACACATACGGACAAAGTACATTGGTGTGAAATCGTTTCTCCACGGAATACCTATTCCTTGAACACAGGAGGTGTTCAAGAGCAATCTTTGCAAAACAAAGACTGGAAGTCTTCTCTATGTAACCCCGCTAAACATTTGATATGACGATCCTCGCAAGAGCCCATTGGTCTAGCATTTCTCTTGGTCTCTCCAACAGCAGCAAGAAACAAGAATAGGATATACCTCCCTACCTGAACCCCCACCCACCCCCCCCCCCTCTCATAGTATACTTTTATGTATGTACTCAATCTCCGGAAACGTAGCTGTTTTGACATACTTGGGTCATGTCAGCACAGCTCAGAGTCAGTTACGTAATCAACCGTAATGCAGTCCAGTGACCAGCAAGCCAGTATTAAACCAGCAGAAAGCATCACAGCATCAGTGCACTCTAGTAACTGCGTGATTCACAGCTACCCGGTATACATATGTTACTATTGTATCCGTGCAGGTTTGGACTGCGAGGAGTACTTAGTGTCCTAGTAATTCAATAAGAACACAATTTTAGTACAACCGATTCTCCTTTGCTGTTGAAAAGTCTGGCTTGGAACCGACAGTTGGTTTGTGTATATTGTACACGCCTAAGTGCATACTATGTAGCACGCTCCTTTTCGTGAGTTGAAAACTTTGGAAAGTCAACAGTAACTCCACTTTGTACATGCATGCATATTACTAAATGCATTATTCAAGTCTTACAAGTTCTCTGAGCACCGACATTGACTCCACCCTTCCGATAACGTATCACCAGCACCACACAGACTATGAGAAAGAGTGCAGCCAGTATTGCCACTCCAGTGCCAATACCTGCATACAAACCAAACATGCGGCCCTTTGCTGGTGGGGCGGGAATATTGGTTGACACTGCGGCAACATGAATACATGGTGACAAAAGAGTGACAAAGCAGAATAATTATGTTAAAGTTATTAAGTACAAGTAGTGTTAGAGCTATATTCTGTGTGGCTTCATTGAGCCTTCATGTCTAGTGGACCGAGAATCATTGACAGTGTTGTTGTTTAGGGGTCTGACTACTTCACCCATTGTTTGATCTCACTGTCATCACCTCTAGGAGATTTGAAACTAAATAATTATAGAAAAATGTGCGTCTGTCGCACATGCATGGTGACTACTAAGGCTAAGTATGTTTGAAAAAACAATACAGCATAATCTGTGTTTTGTTCATGAAGACCTCTCTCACATTCACTGGTCCTGGGATAAGTGGAGATTAATAGACTGCAAGGTACATCATCCTATCATGAACATACTGAATACTTACAAGGCATGCTGGTCATCATAGTTACAGTGGTAGTGGGTCTTGGGTGAACTCTGTATAGAACAGGTATACTTAGTACTGTAGAGTTGTGTGGAGACAGGGCAAACTCGTACAGGCCATCCTTGAACTGGACTGACTCATTGAACACACTGTAACTACAAATGTTTGACTGGTTTGCATTAGTGGTATAAATAACGTTACACTCGATTTGGTACGGCCTAAACCAGAGCCTTAAGTTGATCAGGAAGTTTCGAAGATGGGTTGTCGGCACAAGAACATCATTCGCGCTGCCTTTCACGGTGAGGAATTGTGAGTGATTCTTGGCCAGCTCTGCAGCAGCTCTGTCAGCTGCATTACGAGAGAAATATCGAAGGGAGAGAGACAGAGAGAAAACGAGAGATATACCGATAAAGAGGAAGAGAAAGAGAAAGACAGATGACCAATCGAATAGCGTTTCTGCATCTCCTACATGACCAGATGGTCCGTAAATTAAGCAACTCAAAGGAAAGGTGAGAAATACAGGGTTTGTAGTTTTCGAAAAAAGTACAGATTAATAGCAAGACCATCGAAACTGAACCAGGTCCCGTGGCCGAATTTTCTTAGTGTGGCACTCTCTCCATCTCTTTCCCTCCATGCGCTCTTAGAAAAAGCAACATTTGCAATTAAACTTTAACATGCAGCAAGTAAAGAAGACCCGTTCTATTTTATGCAAGTTCTGTCTTTGTCGCAGGGTCAAAATTATTATAATCTGTGTCTCAGTATAGTGACTGTCAGTGGAGCAACTTTACTCCGCAGTACCTGACTACAGCGGAGAACTCTGTCTTCGGTAATCACACAATCGCGTCGACAGAACTAAAATAAACATGCGTGTTATCTTACCTTGCTGAAGAGAAGTGGAGAATGTGTAAATGATCCGGCCAGCAGATCTGATGGCAAATCTCCCTTCAGATAAGGAGAGATTATCCAGCTGGTAAAGTGTATTCTGTGTGTACACACTGTCTACTTTCCACTCTGATTCTAACCAGCTAAACACAGTGATGTTTGAACTCCCTGCTGCTTGTCCAGTAGAACTTAGTAGCTCAACAATGGATTCACCTGTACATAGGGAGGTGCAGCACATTACACTCAGTCATATCATGGTAAGGTGAATATGAACTTTACATGATAGTTTTATATCGTGACGTCACATCCAGACCGACTTAGACCATAACAGATTACATGCGATTACAGTTTACGATGCCACAGTACATACAAAAATTAGCTGAATGATCACGGGAGTGAGATGGGGAATGGACGGCTGGGTGGTAGATGGGGAGGGGCATAGTGGGCCGCATTAATGTCATGGCAAGAACTATCTTTCCATTCCTTTGGACCTAGGGAATGGAGATATTCGTACCAAGTTGATCCGGCATCACTCCATGGTGAGATAGCGTGTGAACTGCCTCCAGTGTAGGGCAGAATCTAGCATTATCAACAAATAAACTCAAATGGCCAACATCCTAATTGCTGCAAATGTAATAGGTGTATGTATGCTACGACCTGAATACTCACTATTTGTATTTCCCGCTCGTTCCCCTTGGCAATGAGCACTCACATAGAAGAGCGCATGCTCCAGTTCTGTTGTAGTCTAGTCTTGAGTTGTCGTTGTCCTGTTCTCCTTGTCTACACTCTTCTCGAATACTTCTATAAATTATCCAATCATATAAAACCCCTGTGTTCCGGTGTGAGGGGGCATCATTAGCCGGGAGCAGCTAACACTGGTGGCAGCGGAAAACGTCCACACGGGCCACTACATCGCTGGCGGAGTATGTACGCCTTCGGAGATCGCCGACTATGAAGTACCACGAAGGCCCACGCAAGTGAAACCATATCCTCATCCACTCTCTTCGTCAATATTTTCCTTTCTGCATTGTGTTTCTTTCTGCTCGTCGTTTTCTTGTTGCATGCATTGTTTACCATGGTTTACAGTCCATAGGTCAAGCATTGGCGGCAACCTGTCTGGCCAAACATTTTCGGAACATTTTCTGTGTCCGTGTTTTGTGCATACTGGCTGCTGTCTAGCCTCTTGTTAGGATATCTGCTAGCTGGGTAGTAGAGTCTAGCTACACTGTGTCCGTAGAGTAGTTGCCTATTTGGAATTGTCTCTGCCAAATTTAGTTGTTTGCCGCTACGCACGATAGGTTACGTAATAGATTTAGATTTAGATCGATAGTTGATCGAGGCGTCGATCGAGTCCACGGGAAATTTTTGCAGATAATTTTTTTTCGAAAATTCAAAAATACAAAAACAAATTTTTTTTTCACAATGGGCCGTTCAGCGAAATCCAAGAGACAAGAAAAGCTAGAGCGTAGCTTCGCTGAAGCTGGCTGTGACATGAGCATTGCTGAAGAGCGCGAGAGTTCGCCGGTACAAGGGTTGTCCCATCGTTTTCGTTTGCCGGACACAGACACACCACATGCACGTCCACTGCCGAAGCCAGTTTTGCTTCCTGAGACATTCGGAAATCAGCCAGGCCAAGATTTCACCACGTACATGAGGCATTTCGTCCACACATGCGAGTTGAGTGGGTACGACGACGACCAAAAGCTACGGCTACTACCTGCTCGCCTTGTTGGTACAGCTCATGAGATGTTCACCGAAATTCTAACTCACACGCCTGACATGAACTTTTCCGACACAGTCGAGGCTCTGCATGTCCGTCTTGAGCCGCCCCAGCAAGCATTGATGCACGAGGCCAGTCTTCGCCAGCGAGTGAAGCTGGCGAGTGAAACTCAGCACGGGTATGCCACGGAACTTCGTCGGCTCGCTCGTCGAGCCTACCCAGGACAACAAGGTGCACTGCTTGATTCAATGCTTTTGCAACTTTTTATTGATGGCCAGGCATCGAAGGATTTGCGCTTGGCGTTGGCGTCACCTCGGCCCACTGATTTGGATGCGGCGGTCCAAAAGGCCATCGAGGTAGGTGCTATTTATGCTCGCGAGCAGGCCCGCACCGTACCTTACCAGTATGCACAGCCCGTATTTGCTGCTGCTCCGGAAGTGAAGCCCCGTCGCACTGCTCATGGTCGTGACCCCTACGCAGCAGTCGGTCCACTGAAGTCGGAATCTGAGCGAGACCAGTTGGCTTCGCTTTTGTCGAGTTTTGATTCGCGTCTCTCTGCTTTGGAGGCGAAAATGGAGAGCGTGAGTCTGTATCGCCCCACCCGACCCCAGCAAGACCATGTACGTTTTGTTGCTCGTGGTGCTGGTGCTGGTGCGCCTAGTCGTGGTCGTGGCCAGAGTTTTGCTACAAGGCCTGTGCGTGGAGTGTGCCATGGATGTGGTGAAGAGGGCCACTTCATTGCATCTTGCCCGCACGCAAAAAACTAGGTTGGACTGGTGACACGGGGCCGCCGTCAGTCGTCCGAGTGGAGCCCCTCGAGGAGGTATGTGGTGCGATCTCACCCATTATTGTACACGTTGATGTTTGTCTTTCGTCTTCGTATTCGTCTCCTGTTGTTGCTCTTGTTGATTCTGGTTCAAGTGTGTCGTTAGTGCATTCTAAATTGTTGCCTAATTTGACAGAGCGACCTCCTCTAGAGTCGGCTCCGCGGTTGTGTGCAGTCAATGGCGCACAACTTCCTGTCGTTGGATCCATGGATCTGTGTATGTCGCTAGGAAATCTGTCTTTCCAGCACACGGTTGTTGTCTCTCCTGGTATTCACTGCGACATGATTCTTGGTTCCGATTTTTTGTTGCAGCATGGTGGTGTATTAGATATTGCTCGTGGTGTTGTGATGTTTGGCGATGTGTGTGTTCCGTTGCATGTTTCTGGTTCCGGGTGTCCTCCGTCACGTACGCCCTATGATCGTATTGTTCCGCGTAATACTTCCCCCTCATGTAATACTCATACTCCTCATTCTGATGCATGCTCCGACGATGTACCTGTTTCGTCGTATTCTTCTCGTGTTGCCCTTGACGATGAGTTGTCTGTGCCTGCTGGCCATGTTGTGCTAGTACCATGTGTCTATGTGGATGCTTGTTCGGAAACTCTGGATTGTGTTGCTGATCCACTAGAGTCGTTTGTGGATAAGTTTCCTACGTTGTCGGTGACACCTGCACTTGTAACAGTGGGTCCCGATCACTCACACATTGTCATGACAATTGAGAATCACGCTGAGCATAATATTATTATACATAAAAACACCAATATTGCCAAACTGTCTCCTCTCATTATGGATGATGATGATGATGAAGATGACGCCGCCGTTTCATCCGTCACCACTGATCACACACCTGCACTCACAGAACAGCGCAAGGCTACCATTCATGAATACGTTAAATCACAACAAAACCTCTCATCCGAAACCAAAAGCATGCTCACTACACTCCTCATTGATAATCACGACCTATTTATATTGCATGAAGACGACTATGGCTATTGTGACATATTTCCGCATAAAATTGATACAAGCACACATACTCCTATTAAACAAGCAGCTCGGCGCATTCCGTATCACCGTCGCGTTGCTCTGCAGACGTTATTGGATGAGTTACTAGAGAAGGGTGTCATCCAAGAGTCTATCAGTCCGTGGGCGTCTCCGATCGTGTTGGTTCCTAAGAAGAACGGTTCCTTACGACTTTGCGTCGACTATCGCAAGTTAAACGGTGTCACAAAGCCGGACGCCTATCCGATTCCACGGGTGGATGACATGCTTGATTCGCTGTCTGGTTGTAAGTGGTTTTCGTCGCTCGATCTCGCGTCTGGGTATTGGCAGATTGCGATGGATCCTGACGACCTAGCGAAGACCGCATTTACAACACCATTGGGCCTGTATGAGTTTACAGTGCTGCCGATGGGGTGCAGGAATGGTCCTGCCACCTTCCAGCGAGTTATGGAAGCTGTTCTTCGTGGGCTGTGTAATGCTGCGGCTCAGCCATTTTGTCGTGTCTTCTTTGACGATGTTTTAAATGCAAGTGAAACATTGTCTGGCCAGGTATTGATTTTGTCGCGAGTGTTTGAGCGTGTGCGTTCAGCAGGCCTGCGTTTTAACTTAGCAAAGTGTTCTTTTTTCCGGTCGGACGTCGCGTTCCTCGGGCACCGCGTGTCGGCAGACGGAATTTCCCCCGATCCGGACAAGGTTTCCGCGATACTTGCGTGGAAGACGCCGAAGTCTGTCACTGCGGTCAGGTCATTCCTTGGTTTCGCGGGATACTACCGTAGATTCATCCGTGGATTTGCGCAGCGGTCTGCCCCGCTGACGGCTCTCACTGGCAAGAATGCGCAATTTGTTTGGTCGAAAGCTTGCGACGCTTCCTTCCGCGCCCTGAAGTCTGCGCTGTCGAGTGCTCCGGTTATGGCATTCCCGGACTTCGGACCAGATGCCGGTCCCTTCCTTCTGGACACAGATGCCTCGAAAGTGTCCATTGGTGGTGTCCTGAGCCAGGTGCAGGACCAGGTGGAACGCCCCGTTGCGTTTGGTGGCCGAATAATGTCGAAAGCGGAGCGGAACTATGACGCCAGTGACCGCGAAGCCCTGGCCCTTGTCTTTTTCGCCAACCACTTCCGGCATTATCTGCTTGGTCGCGAATTCACTGCAAGGACAGACAATACCGCGTTAACTGCGTTGCGGGCAACCAAGGAGCCCCGTGGTCGCAAAGCTCGATGGATTGAGGCTTTGGCCGAATTCGAGTTTGCTGTTGTGCACCGCCCTGGTTCTCGACACAGGAATGCCGATGCTATGTCCCGCGTGCTGACCGATGTGCCGTCTCCTCCGCCGAGTCCGCCGCCTCTTGCCCGTGATGTTCCGCTGTCAGCTGCTGCTGAAGTGCCACTTGCTGCTGATGTTCCTCCGGCTGCCGAGATTCTTCCTCCGGCCGTTTTTGTTCGTCCTCCTGGTGCCTCTGCTGCTGGACCGTCGTCACCTGATTGTTTCAAGCCTCAGAGTCTTCTTGCTCCGTATGCTGATCCTGCTCTGTCTGAGTGTTTCACCAGATATGATGCTGTCACCGGCAAGTTTGTTCGACCGCCTGAAGCTGTTTCCCGTCCTCCCGACTGTCAACCGCCTGCCGTTACTGCTTCTTGTCCTGACCCGATTACGCTGTCCGATGATGATTTTCCGCCGCTACAGCCGCCGTCGTCTGCTCCGGTCCGTACTTCTTCTCCTGTTTCTCGTCGTTCTGGCCGTGTTCGCACTGCACCTGCTCGACTCGCTGACTATGTCCTGGACTGAGTTTATTATTTGGTTTGTTTTCTTTTGTTTGTTTCCTAGGTATTTCGTTCATTCCCGTGGACGTGAATTTTAGCTAGGGGGGCACAGTGTAATAGGTGTATGTATGCTACGACCTGAATACTCACTATTTGTATTTCCCGCTCGTTCCCCTTGGCAATGAGCACTCACATAGAAGAGCGCATGCTCCAGTTCTGTTGTAGTCTAGTCTTGAGTTGTCGTTGTCCTGTTCTCCTTGTCTACACTCTTCTCGAATACTTCTATAAATTATCCAATCATATAAAACCCCTGTGTTCCGGTGTGAGGGGGCATCATTAGCCGGGAGCAGCTAACACAAACACGTGTTCTCTGCAGCAGACGGCACAACAAGCTTTCAACTGAGTATGGACAACAGTACAGGTATAATTTAAATTGGTTATACGCGTACAGGATCATGTGTAAAGGACCACATGATATGGACCATGTTAAATGGATAATGTGTAAAGGACCGTGTGTAATGGATCATGTGTAATGGATCATGTGTAATGTATCATGTGTAATGTATCATGTGTAATGGATTGTATTGTATTGTATTTATTTAAAAGGATTCTCCAAAAGCAAATGGATGCTTATCACGGAAGTCTCCCACATAAATATCGCAAGAAAAATGGGGAAATGGGGAGAGGAGAGTGGAAGATGAAGCATGGGAAGAAGGGAAACAAGTACCTAAATATCGAGGTATAAAAGCAGGAAAGAAATCGACGAGGGAAGAAATCACCTCTGCAGATAATAGCGGGACATTTAGATGAAAAAAACCCAGCAAGGATTAATTTCAAGGAAAAAAATTTCTCAAACGGAAAAGTTCGGAATTCCAGTCAGAGAATATCTATGCTGAGAGTAATGAGCCTTTAGAGCAATGCGAAAATTGACAGAGGACTGAACGCAGCGGATGTGTTCTGGAAGTTTGTTCCATTCCACAGATAAACTGAAGAGAGGGGATTTAAGGAAATGGGCGCCAGAACGAGGTAAAACTATAGAGGACGGGTGACGACAACTAAGGGATACATTGAATTTGAAACGAATTAGCAAAGACGGAAACTGGTAAAAGACATGATGAAAATACAGCAAGGACAGAATCTGACGACGCCACTTCAGGGATGACCAGTCGCAAGTACGATTAAGAATCTGCTTCGGGGTTTCCCACTCAGGAGGGTGCCGGGTCTTACAAAGCAGATATGAACGAGCAGCAACGGCTTGCAGTCGGTCTAACGTAAGCGAATCTGAATGGGATACGGCGAATGACCAGACAGGGACTGCGTATTCTAACAGTGGTCGTACGTAACACTTGTAGAGCAAATTCACGGTTGAAGCAGAAAGGAAATGGGCCATATGGCGCAACAGAAAAACACGACTGCGAAACTTATGGGTGATAGATTTTATATGGTCAGAAAAATTTAGTGAAGGAGTGATAGTCACGCCGAGATGACAGTGGCTATCACCTTTCTGAATAGGCACACCGTTCATTGTCAAGGGGGATGACGGGCCGGGGGCTAATGCATATTTTTGAAAGGGAAGGTGGACGCATTTACTGGTGTTAAACGTCATGGCAGTAGTTGATGACCATTGACAACACTTATCAATGTCAGTCTGGAGCAATGCATGATGGATAGGAAGTGAGGTGTTTGCTGGAGAAACAAGAATTAAATTAGAGTCATCAGCAAAAAGGGATAGGGTACTAGAAGCAGGGGCATCAGGAAAGGAGTTGATGCACAGGTTAAAAAGAAGCGGGCCGAGATGGGAACCTTGGGGTACGCCAGCGGTGATGGGCAAAGGGTCAGAAAGAGTTTGGCCAATGCGAACGCAAATACTACGATCACTGATGAAGTCCTTCACCCAAGAACAGGCAGAAAGAGAACACCAACCTGAAACAGATTGAATAACTAAATGATGACTAACTCTGTCAAAGGCCTTAGAAAAATCAAGGAACAGCTGGTCACAAGAAGACTTAGAGTCAAATGCACGCGAAACAATTGAGGTAAGCTGTACCAATTGGTCAACTGTTGACCTCTTTCGACAAAAGCCAAACTGGCTGGAACTGATAATTTTATGGCTCTCAACAAACGAGTAAAACTGACGGCTAATCATAGACTCATACAATTTGGCAACTGCATTTAACAGCGATATAGGACGGTAATTGACTGGGTGAGAAGGATTACCCTTTCCCTTGAACACAGGTACAACAACGGCAGATTTCCACTCCCTGGGCTGAGTACTGGACAGCAAGCAGCGGTTGAAAAGGGCGGAAAGAGACTGTGACGTGACCTCAGCTGTTTCACGGAGGATGCGATTGTTCAGCAGTCCAGCAGTTTTACGTTGAATGGGAAGTCTGGATAGCGTGTCAAATACGGACTGCACAGAGAATGGTTGTATGGAGAACTTCACAGTGGACGTGGGTGTTAAAATACCAGCTGAGTGCAGGTCAGGTGTTAGCAGTGGCGCCTGGCTGTAGCTCGCAAACACTTTGGCTAGGAGATTCGTCTTTTCCGTATTACTCGTGGCTGGGTAGGCTTGGTTGTCATGGTAGAGGTCAGGGATAACCGGAGACGGGCGATTCACATTACAAAGGATCTTTGCTTTGCGCCACCATGTACGAGTTCCATGATGCTGAGCCATGTCTCTCGCCATCCTCTCGTGGTAATGGCGTTTCGCCTTCCGGAGCAAGGAAGTAAGACAGTTACGTGAGAGTCTATACGCTATCCAACTATCTGTAGATCCGAGACGTTTGGCCTTGGCGAAGAGGCGGATCATGTGTAATGGATCATGTGTAATGGACCACGTGATATGGATCATGCGTCATGGACCATGTGTAATGGACTATGCGAAAGGCTATGACAAAGATTGCAGACAATGGGTAACCTGTTTCCTGTTTTGCGTCTGGGCATTCCTCAACAAGAAGACATGTAACCGTGTGGAACATAGCGAGTCAAATATGTTTCACACCGCACTGGTGACAGAGCTTGCTGGTCTGATCAACGAGATTCACAATACTATGCCGACGTTTGAGACTGGAAGTATCTGAGAATTTGCTTGATTTTATTCGCAATGGTGGATACGAAGCGACCTAGGAGTCGTTAAAAATGTGACTGCTTCAAGTAGATATCTCTGTCACCAGAGCACAGCAGCCCCGATGCAAGTGCCACGAACGGTTCCGCACTGTCCCGTTAGGGGTAGTATGAAATGACACGTTTTCTATGACTTTTTAAGAAGAAAAGAAGACCATTACGAGGACTATGGCTGTTTCCAATTTATCCTGTTTTCACGTCAGTCGTAACACGCACAAATCTAGCCATGAAGGTATACATGACCAGTGTGAGTAACATCTACTATGGTCTAGAATAGAACATAGGTATATTTATATCCAGGGCAATGGTAGAGTGTGTGTTGTATGATGTGGGGATGTCACACTGGAGTATATCACTTACATCTGTGTGCGAATGTACGGATATAACCGGGTTTGCACACACACCGGTCTTCATTTCGTACGGCCACCAAGTTGTCGTTGACGTTGCAGTAGCCTGTAGCATTTAAACACAGATATACATCAGACTGACAGATCTTTCACATAAAAAAGAACTCAGATGGTGAGCCAAGGTTTAATTTATACAAAAGAGAAAGACCAAGGAACTACAGAACTACAAGTTACGCTACACTGTCCACTAACACCACCAGTTACTAAACAATCAGCTCATGCGATAACATTGCACGACACTGACCGACGGTACTGACGTTCTACAACTAACTGGCTAACAGCTCTAGCACATCTTGGATGCGCACTCCAACAGCCTTCTAACTTGGAAGGTTCTAAGTTCACAATATAGAAATAACATAGGGCGGGCCCTATGTTATTTCTATAACTTAGAATAGCAATAAACACGCTACACAGCAGGAAATATACAATTCTTAGTAATCCAGCGGCTATGAACAAAATTTTCAAGACTAAGACATGGCAAATCAAGGCAAACATAGAGCATAGCTTTGGGGTAGAACAGTGTTCAGGCATAATTCAAGCAAAAGTGCTGCTTATCATATGGGCTACGTCGTGCCAAGTACACCTTACAGTCTGTTCGAATAAGTACCTGACTCAATAAGACTTTCTTCGTTTGTCAACTGTGACACAACAATTTGCGAGTTTGCCCAGTTTTTTCATTGCTAAACCCTGAGCAAAAATTGGTCCCACACATACATAGAGTATCACTTGAGAGTAACTCCGCAGGAAACTTACGAGACACGCAGACGGTCGGCCTGGCTGGGGTGCAGGAGTCTCGAAGTACTGCCGACCTTGATGGCGAAAACACCTCGCACTCAGCTGACCCGTTCGTGCCGCTGGTGTAGAGGGGTATGGTGGTGGCGTTGTTGTCTTTCAGCCCCTGAGACGAATTCAGGAGCTGAGAGACGCAGCTGAGCTGCTGCATGTTTGTTGACAACAGCCAACCACCATACCGTTGGCGACACGTCCGGTTTGCATCGTCAGCTGAGAACGAGATGCTGTGATACGTGAATTTGTACGATCCGCACACTGTGGATGGTTCCATATTAGCTACACGGCAATACAACAGGAGAAAAAATACGATCATGTCATGTTTCCGCACTTCACTTTAACCGTTTGAAAGCCGCCCATACTGGAATGCGCATAAAAGAATGATTTCTTATGAGAGTGCCATCATACACGTTGCACCCAGTACAATTTATCACTGGTATGACTCACTCTTCCCCGTTCTTTGGAGATAGAAGTGATTTTCAGTGGCTTAACCCTTAAGTATGTAAAAGCAGCTACCTAAAGCAAAACACCATTTTGACTCAGCGACCTCAAGAATGAATGTACTGAAATTGATGTTGGGCCAATTTTAAAATTACAACTTGTAATGATATTTCACAAGAAGTGTCAGCACTGACACAATCCACACAGTCAAGTAAAACCAATTTTGTAACCGGACGTTTTCGTTCCCTTCTCCTCATGGGCGGAAACAATACAGGGAGTAGTGGAAAAATGCCAAACACAGCAAGTTATGAATAGGCTACGAGGAGATAATAACTACATTCTAGCAAGAAATACTATTAGTGAAGCGGACATTACGCATAGAACAAAGAGTATATATGGTGAACAAAATTAATTTTTCTCGTTTCCATGTGATTTCTTTTATTTGAATTATTTTTCCTAATTGATTTTCTCGAGACTATCACCAGGGAAAAGTCGTCTCACAAGAGAAGCTATATGGGGAACAAACTAACTTGTACATCCAGAGGATATTGCGAAGTTTATACCCAGCTCATATTAACCCCCACTAATTCCTGTGATCTATAACTGGTCAATATCCTATTTATCACGATTCCTTCGCCATAACCCCAGAATTTGAACCTTTAGGAGCTATTTTAACCTTTTTAGTATAGCATTTATACTATAGTATACATTGGATGTTGCCTATTTTGGGTACAAGACTGTAAGAACAACAGGGTTCAGCATCTGCAGCACAGTGGCTGGGTGGTATAAGGGGTTGCTTGAGGTTCATACTGTTGTGAGTTCGAATCCTGCTTGTTCTCTTCTTTGTCTTCTTTCTTTCAATTTTTCTTTTTGAAGTGGAGAGAAAAATTCTAAGTCCCTCCAAAGTCGAAAGATTACAATGCCTAAGTGGTCGATACAAGCGGTCGATATAAGCGGTCGATATTGCGGCGATATGGGTAATATAGGACCAGTCAAGGATCACGAGAATTAGTGGAGGTCGATATAGAAGAGTGATAAGTATCTATTATTGCACGATTGAAGAGGTCAATATATGAAATATAGAACGAGTAAAAGACCGAGGTCCCCCGAGGTCTTTTACGAGGTCTATATTTCATATATTGACCGATTATGAGGGCAATAATAGATTTATCACGACATAGCATACCTAAAACTGTTTTTGCTTTGCTATAGGAAGAAAGGAATACTATTGTAATAGTATAATAGTATGTACATATGCCGTTTACACTGGACATTACTTCTGTGTAAACCAAAGTTTTCAGTTGTCTCTTGTAGTATGTTTCCCAAGTCCTTTGACTGAGAATCTGACAGTTTGGGTTCGAATCCCAGCATTTGGCTTCAGATTTTTCTTCTTTCAGTTCTGATTTTTTTCTACTTTGAAGTAAGTTGAGGAAAAAGTTCTAAGTCCTCAGGCTAAGTGGTCAATAATAAGTGGTCAATATAAGCGGTCAATATATGCTGATATTTGACCGCTTAGAGATCACAAGTTTCTGTGGGGGTCAATAATAAGAGAGTGATAAATCTCCATATTCACCACTTTAACTTGGGGTATATACTTTGCTATATTACCCACTTAGAGGTTGTAACTTTTCAACTTTCAAGGGACTTAGAAATTTTCTCTCCAATTGAAAAAGAAAAAAATTGAAGAGAAGAAAGAAGTTTCAGCAGGAATCGAACCTAGAACCATAAGATTCCCAAGCACCTATCTTGACCACCCAGCCACCAGGGTGTTGATGCAGATGTTGGTTTAAAGAAAGGTCTTAGGTCTGGAACACGCAATACTACCTACACATAATAGTATACTATTGTATACTGGGATACTAAAATAGCTATTTCGGACCAGTATTTCAGGCCAAAAACGAAGCTAGGTATAAATAGAATAAACACCTCTGTCTTGTGTTTATGGGAATATAAACACTGTCTATAAAAACCTCGGCTACGCCTCGGTTTTTATAGCAGTATTTATATTCCCATAAACACTACGACATCGGTGTTTATTCTATACATAAAGGTGATGAAGTAGTGGTTGCGACTTCGGCGATGATTTGTAAGAAAGGTGTCAAGTAAAGTCGGCGGAATAGTGCGAGCTCCGGTGTGGGGAGCAAACCTTTCTTATAAAGGTGATCTTCACTAATACCATTTATCGCTACAACAACTTAAAGACCTCAAGCAAAATTAGATCCTCTGTAATCTGCTGTAAAGGCACAAATCATAAAAATATCTTACCGGGATTTCGTCCGCAGACGACCGTGAGAATGTTCGAGCACGATGCTTCCTCAGGCGGTAATGAATCTCCCAGAAACGTGATGCTGCAATTGCCGGGTAAGCGGCTAAAGACGACGAGACTGTCCGACAATTGCAGCGTGTTTCCCACATCACGGTTGTGAAGTCCATCCAGCAATCTGGTGTAGCTGGTATGGACTCCTACACGACCAAGCAACGACAGTAAACTTGACTTGCATGCCGTGATCTGGGGGAAGCTGGCGAGATGGCTGCCTTGACTTTGGCAGAACTGCTCGCCAGCAACCCACGTTTCCTTGTTGTTGGTGGCATAAACTTCATCACCTCCGTCTCCACAACGGAGCCACGTGTTGACTGCAATAGCCCACAGGGAGAAAATGAATTATTGTAATATATGTGAGTACTGATCGCTCATCTTTACATTATGAACCTTAACCACAGTGGGTTAATGATGAGACAGTAAGTGAGTCAGGGAGTCAGGGAGCCAGGGAGCCAGGGTGCCGGTCCAGGTCATTCAACCGGATTTCAATGTCCACAACATCATATTCATGACATGACTGTGATTTATCACTTTCCTTTGGGTTGTTGGTTCGAATCCAACATTGGACAGACAACTTATTTGTATTCACTGTTTTTAATCTGTTACCTTCTTTCAGTAAGGCATACAGGAAATGCTGTAGTAGACATTTGAATCCGTTCAGACGTCAAGCAGGCACGGGGCCTAACAGCGCATGTACACGATAAAAGCAGTGAGGGCATGGGTAATGAATCCCCAAGAAATGTGAAACTGCAATTGTTGGCAAGGCTAAATCCAAGCATAGCGCTCACCATCTCCGGTTATACCACATTTCGTCGCGACCGACCACCTCATGATAACAAATCCGGTACGGCAACCAGAGGAGTTGCGATTCTTGTCCGGCAAAATCGCTTCGGAAGAGTCCAAGTTCGCGACGACCTTGCTCGTCCGACCTGTGAATCCGTATGGGTTGAGCTTCACCCAATCTTAGGCTCCCCGACACCCATCCTCGTCTGCTGTACCTACCGTCCGCCCTCAGTCAAAACCACGGAAATAGACCACTTCTGTGATATGCTAGCTAGTGCTTTGGTAACCGTTCCCATGTCATCGTACCATGTCATAATGGCTGGGGACTTCAACAGTAAGCACAAACGGTGGTGCCCATCGGATTTAACGTGTCCTGCTGGGGCGGCACTTTTTCGCACCCTTACCTGCTTCGGTTTGGATCAGCTGGTGCAGGGTCCAACGCACACAACATCTTCCGGAACACAGTCATGTCTAGACCTTGTCTTCACGAACCAACCCCTGCTGGCGACGGACGTTCACACGGCTCCTCGGACCATCTCATGGTTTCATGCCAGTTCGCCGTCTCATTGCCCTCGGATCCAGACCTGCCACTTCCTTCTCGCAAACCGTTCCCATATCGCTTCCGTCGAGTTCCCTCTCAGTGCTGGGACTCTATGAACGCTGATTTCTCCTGCCACGACTGGTCGTTTCTGCAACCAGAAGGCTCTCCAACTGTTGACGCCGCGGTAGATCACTTTGCAGCCGTCCTTGAACGAGGGTTCCAACAGCACCTCTCTAACTTTGCTATCGGCTACAACAACCGGAAACATTCCAACCCAACATCCTCGACATCTAGTCCCCCATGGGTGACACGGTCCCTCGTATCTGAAGTGAAGCGCAAGCGTGATCTTTTCAGCATCTACAAGAAATTCCCAACGCCGAATAACCGGGAGGCTTACCGAGTTCAACGCAACTTCGTCAAGCACCTTTCTCGTACCTCACACCGCTCCTTTCTAAACTCTCTTTCTGCAACACTCTCCTCCCCCGATCGCCCATCACTCCACCAATTCATTCGCAACCAGTGCCGCGGGACCTCCCGCGCGCCAATCCAGTACCTGACGGACTCCCATGGCAACCGCCAGCACGATGTGAAGGCGATTGCAGACACGCTGAACAAGCAGTTTGTTTCATCCGGCATTCCGGAAGATCCGAATTGGGTCATTCCATCGCTGTCCCCAGCCCCTGAACTTAGCGCACCACTCACACGCGTCGTTACCACGACTGCTACCGTCTGTAAGCACCTCAAACTCCTGAAGAATTGTAAGTCCCCTGGCGAAGATGGCATACCCAATGAGGTTCTCAAATGGCTTGCGCCATCTCTGTCCTATCCCTTGTGCCTGCTCTTTAACATGTCATATCGTACAGGAGTATTTCCGTCCGTCTGGAAATCTGCTGTTATCGTCCCGATCTATAAGAAAGGCCAACGCTCTCAGGCTGGCAACTACAGACCAATCTCTCTCCTTCCCGCTGTGTCCAAGGTCTGTGAACGTATTTTCTTTGAGTCTCTGTACTGCCACGTCACCCCAGCGCTTTCACCATCTCAATCCGGTTTCTGCCGTGGAGACTCCACAACTTTCCAACTAACACGTCTAGTACAAGACATCTACACCCAGCGGAACCTCAGGCGGCATGTTGGCATCGTGTTCTTTGACCTAGCGAAAGCTTTCGACACCGTCTGGCATCGTGGTCTGCTTGCAAAGCTAGAGTCCGTCTTCTTGGTACACGGTCCAGCCCTGCAATGGCTCTCATCCTATCTTTCCTGCCGCCACCAGACTGTCAGAGTATCTACCTCCCTATCAGACCCATTACTAGTCGTGTCTGGGGTACCCCAGGGGTCCATACTTGGGCCGCTCCTATTTCTACTGTACGTTAATGACTTGCCAGCCCTTGTACCAAATGTAAGTCTTTTTGCTGACGACACTGCTCTGATGTGCTCCGACAGCTCGGCAGACAACCTCACGGCATCCATGCAGTCCGGGGTCAACGCTACAGTAACATGGATGGAAACCTGGAAACTGAAGCCTAACCTCGCCAAAACCGAGGCCATGTTCTTCTCTCCCTCGCCCCCCACTCAACTTCTGTATTTTCCTGGTCTAAATAGTACACCTATTAAAGTTGTTAACGAGCACAAGCACCTGGGCGTTATTCTCGACCGCCAACTCTCCTGGTCTCCACAAGTCCAGTCTGTGTGCAAGCGTGCGAGTGCGTCCTTAGGTATGCTACAACCCCACTGCCAACACTTGAATGATAACTGCAGAAAATTGTTCTTTAAGTCGTACATTTTGCCTATATTTGACTATTGCGATATAGCTTGGTGCGGGTTGTCTCAGACTTTACTCCACAGACTGGAGGTACATCAACGCTTGCTTCTGAAAATTCTGTTTCGAAAAGACCAAACATTTGCCTCCCTTTGTCTTTATAAACTTGCTTCCACGCACCCTCTTCTTGCCCGACATCAGCAGCATCTTTGTATCCTTGTGCAAAAAATCTTCCTAGCCCAAGTCCCGAAACATATTGCCAAGTACAACTGGTTTGTTACCACTAGACCAACACGCAATGCCTTATCACTGCCCCGAGCTAGTTCCTCTCTGTTTTTGAAATCCCCTTTCTTCTCAGCATACTCCCTTTGGTCTAACCTGCCTACTAGCATTAAGACATGCCAGGATATCAGGAAATTCACAGTCCAGCTTTCCACACTGTCTCATCCGAAGTGATCCCATGTATTATTAATGTGCCTCCCTTTCTTTTTCTCTCCCTATCTCCTTTCCCTCTCTGACAGCATCTTTCTTTTTTTTTCCCTTTTAGCTTGCCGTGGTTGGCTATCACCTGACCTCTCATGTTTATTGGCAGTCTTCGGACGGGCCAGGAGATGTTGAATAAATAAATAAATAAATAAGGCGGCTGAAATCGACCACACTGTGCGACAATTTCAACTTGTTTCCCTCATCACGGTATTGAAGTCCACCCAGCAATCTGGTGTAGCTGGTATGGACTACTAAAAGACCAAACAACGACAGTAAACTTGACCTGCAAGCCGTGAGTTGGGGAAAGCTGACAAGATGGCTGCCTAGACTTTGGCAGAACTGATCACCAGCAACCCACTCATGCTGGTGTTGGTAACAACTAGTTGATTCCCATCGTCCCCGCAACTTAACCACTTGTACACTGTTATGTTCTTATACACACCACCAGAGAACAGGAACTAGTTTGGTGACAAGACTTAGAAACTAATTTTATACATTCCTGGGTGACGAAGAAGAGAGAGACAAGAAGGACCATCTGATTCACTTCACCAAGAATATGCATGCTTGCATAAGTCCAATAAAGACGTGACGCAATCACGTGATGCAAGGCGTGCAACGTTACACGGGTGATAGCGACTAGAAGTACATGCGCAATACATGAGTAGCATGATACATCATACACTGCAATAAAAAAACAGGGAATGTACTCTTCTTAGAAGTGAAATGCATGCGATGCGATGTGGTGTGTGTTTGTGTGTGTGTGTGTGTGTGTGTGTGTGTGTGTGTGTGTGCGCGTGTATATGTGTGTTCGTGAGTGCTTATGCTTGTGTGTGTCTGTTTGTGTATGTGCGTGCGGTTGTGCAATCTTTTGTGAGAACACATGTCTGTTTGCGAGAGAGAGTGAGATATAGAGATAGAGGTATAGAGATAAAGATAGAGATAGAGACAGAGATAGAGGCAGAGATAGAGGCAGAGAAATCAAAGTGGAATATATTGCAAAAAGTACCAAGGGGTTCGCCGGGGAGGGGGGGAGGGGGAGGGGGGAGGGGGGGGGGGCACAGGAAAGGCAATTTCTTGCATTCTGTCTTGCCTGTAAACAACTTGCTCAATTTCAAGTAACTCTATCTCCATACAATGTATCATGGGTTTCCACTCTATGATTACAGTCATACACATTATGTATGCGATGAGCTCATTCGCAGATGCACTGTGACAACCTGCCCCCTATCCGTCGAAAACTGAGTGGGTGCACATCTCATGCAACAATGATGCATGGAAAAAGATCAAGCAGCTCGGATCGCTTATGGGTGCAAGAGAGTACCTAGACAGGCGTCTCCAACTTGCAACTTGTGCATATCGCAATATGTACACTCTCTGGTTGAGGCGCACACACGTCGGAAAATACCGTCGACTACAGCTGTACAAAGCCTTCGTGCTGCCAACCATTCTGTGCAATTGCTGCACGTGTGGGTTCACCGAAGCTGAATCGCAGAAACTGGATGTGTTCCACAGAAGGCAGCTGCGGAATCTACTTGGAATGTTGTATCCCAACACCATCTCGAACGATGAGCTCTACCGGCAATGCAGCAGTTCGCCCCTCTCGGCAACCGTGAAAAGCCGTCGAATGGCCATGCTTGGCCATGTACTCCGCATTTATCCTGACACACCACCTCAAAAAGCAATGCAGCTTTACGTCAGTCTACAAACTGCTATACGGAGGGGAAGACCAACAACCACACTGGCGACTACAATTCGGAAAGAGCTTGAAGTCGAAGGAATTCCAATGAAGTCGACAACCGACTTGGCCAAACTACGCCAGTGGGCGCAAGATCGTCGGGAATGGAGGAGTGTATGGAATATTGAATCCGAATAACTAACTAGGACGAAGGCCTGCAGCAGCCTGCGACTAGCTTCATGTCATCTGCTTTCTTTCATCTTGTTAGATTGTTAGTGCGTGTGTGCTTTTGCCATCTTGCTGAAGAAACACAGAGGCGGAACAGGATATGGTATGTTTTTACTTTGTATTTATCTACCGTATCTCCATTACGCGAAGCTGTGTAATAATAATAATATTATTATATTAGTATTACGCATCTCTTCCTATTTTTAAGTAGAATATTTGTATTACGCATCTCTCGCTATTTCTCCTCTTTGGAGCACTCTAGTCCTAGAGCAAAGAGCCATCTTAAAATCTCTGTGGTGACCCCTTTGAACTATGACCGGTAGCTCGGCTTACTTACGTCTCTACCTCTGTCTACAGGATTGGGTATACAAAATTCCGTTGGTGCCGAAGTCAGTCAGGCTCACGTTTCTGCTCAATGCGCACCGCGCCACAATTTTATAATTGAACACTTGAAGCTATGCGAGGTCAGTAAATCAGACTCATTCCCCAAATTCCATTCTACTACATCCTGCCCACATCCTTTCCAGGCTAGGTGGCATATACTTTAACTGTGGGATCTCCCTGCGCAACTGTCGTCGAACCTCCTTCTCTCTTCTCTTTCTTTCTCTCTCTCTCTCTCTCTCTCTCTCTCTCTTTCAAGTAACAACTGTTCCTACCGAGACAAGAGAATGTCAATCGCTTTCATCACGCACCAAACAAGCAGGAACACTTCAAGGGCACAGCACGAACAAAGGAATAAATCATGCCAGCTTCAATAGAGCTATTCGAAATCTACTTCGAAGTATCTATTTTCGAAATCGATTTCGCAGCTACTAACCTGAGAGCATAATCTCACCTGAAAACAAGTCATGAGAGAGCATTTTTTCTGATCCCTCTTCCACAAGCAAACATCTCAAAAAATCATGAGCTCCTCAAATCTCAGCCAGCTGTATCACACACGTAGAATCTACGGTAAATAGCACCAAGAAAGTCGCAACACATGTAGCGTGGGACCGTCCCTATCCTGAACGCGTCAACATCCTGAACGCGTCCCTATATTGAGCACGTCCGTAAACTTAAGTTCAGTATACGGACGTGCTCAATATAGTGACGCGTTCAGGATACATGGATTGACGTGTCTGAACGCGTCCCTTTACTGAACGCGTCCCTATACTCAACTCGTCCCTATACTCAACTCGTCCCTATACTCAACACGTCCCTGTCCTGAACGCGTCCCTACTGAACACCTCTGTTTACTGAACGCGTCCCTATATTCAATACGACACTATCCTGAACACGTCCCTATCCTGAACACGTCCATATACTGAACAGGTCCCTATTCTGAACGGGTCCCTGTACTGAACTGGGCTATACTCAACGCGTCCCTGAACTGAACGCGTCCCATGCAGGCTATACTGGACACGTCCCTCCCTATACTCAACGCGTTCCTATCCTTTAGGCAACACTGAACACGTCCCTATACTGAACGGGACCCTTTACTGCACGTGCCGAACTTCTCTGATCCACAGCAGCTTAGGGCATCCTTAGGACATTCTTTCCTCTTTCCCAGTGGATTGGTATACATTCCAATCACTGTGGTACGCTGCTCTAAGGTCAAGTGGAAGTTCACATGTGCGAAGTAACATCTCTATGCACGCATGCATGCACACATTAAATCGTCCAAACGTACGCTCTATTCCGTGGCTGCCAGTGGTGACCCAAGGGAGGAGTACATACATTACTAGTACAAGCAGGGACACAGCGGATCCAGCCTGTGGCATAAACAGGACCGAACAAAATGAGAACAATTTGTTTAATATACCGGGTAGATATTCACAAAAATATTCACAATTTTATTTAAAAGATGAAGTCACACGTGATGATCAGAGAGCTAGCTAGAGAAGCTTAGCATAGTCCGTACAATCACGGGCCAAGGCTCCAAAGGGTCACCTTAGCGTCCAAGACAGCCAGGGAGGCACAGCCATCCATTGGAGGCTGCAAAACTCGGCAAGCCCCACGCAGACAAATTAGGCTTGAACGGGGCAGTAGCACAAAACATCATTTCGGCCGTGATGAAAATCCTTCACCAAGTAATAATGCAGGTGCGAGTGTTCAAGATGACTTGGGTGTGTTTGCATGCTCTGGTACAAGTAAAAGTACAAGTACAAGGTCCCGCCATTGTCTTTGGTAGTTTCATGCCGTCTGTGTGTGTGTGTGTGTGTGTGTGTGTGTGTGTGTGTGTGTGTGTGTGTGTGTGTGTATGTGTGTGTGGGTGTATATGTAAGCAAGCTGTTGAATGGTGTAACCCCAGCCCAAGTTGCTATTTCTAACATAGCTGTTCGCTATCATCGCTTCCGCGATGGGCAGGTCTGAGATCTGAGGTCTGAGGTGTGTGTGTGTGTGTGTGTGTGTGTGTGTGTGTGTATGTGTATGTGTATGTGTGTGTGTGTCCGCCGGAATAGTTTTCATTTCCGTTCAGCGCTTCATCTGGTCGTCCACAAAATAGAGTTAGTTTTACCATTGACTCGCTACCTTACTCAGTCCATAACTCATAAACGGTACGTGGTGCGCACAGAGACTGGCCCTACACGCTAGCACACTCACGTACACAACTACAACCGTTACCAATCACTAAAATACTCAGTCCATAACTCATCAACTGTGCATGTATTGTACAGAGTGTAGTATACAGAGTGACTCTGCACGATAGGCCACTCACGCATCTGAAACAGTTACCGACCACTTTCTCCGTTTGGCAGGAGCAGATTGGACCAAGACATCATCGTCAAAGCACTACATGGTTGATAAACCCAACGGGGCTTGTCATGCCTTATGAAGTTATGGTCTCATGCAAGTACTATGTGTGTGCGTTTATGTAGGCAAAGTGCCAAACAGAATATCGTACATGACAGAAAATACACATGAAAGAGAGCGCGCTAATGTTTGTCTTACCATCATGGCTTGGGAGAGGACTTTCGACGCTGAATGGCAGGATGTCAGGCACGTACCACAGAAGCTCACACAGACACAACACCAACTGTAACCGCTGTGCGTCTGTTTATATAGGCACTGAGATCGAACAAGTAAAACAACTTGGAGAAGAAAATAGAAATCCTGGGAGGATTCAAAGTGTGAATTAATTCTCTTCAAGCACCAGTGTGGGGAGCAAAGCCTTTCCGAGTTCCTGATACAGAGTGTGTTCAGTCTAAACAGATGCAGTGTTTGTCCTCTCTTGAGAAGTGTGACACACGCGCACGCCTAAGGGCTTTCGATCCAATCTGAAGAGGTTCAATGCGTAAGCGTAATAAAGCATGCCTATACAGGTATTGCATAGCAACAGTAGCGTAACATAGTTACCACAGAGATGGCGTGCTTCAGAAACATCCCGAGCAATCGATGACGACGGCGTACCTGCCAGGCTGTCCGATTGAACAGCTCGCCGGCTAACTAGTGAAGAAGAGAGGTAATTCAGAGATACGGTCCGTGAAAATCAAAACAAGGTGAAGCCCAACGACGAAGCAACAAGGGATTTGTCTCGACCCGTGTTTGCCTTCATTGTAAAAAATAAAGGGAATAGAAAGGAGTAAAATGCTGCTGAACATATGCATTGCCAGGACCAATAGTAAAGATTGCTATCACACTCTCAGCATGCACTAGTACTGTATTATGCCGACTACTGACACTTTGTAAACTTCTTACACTGCACTCGCTAACATTTTTATTCCTCTTGTGGTGTAGTTATGTGGACGTTTTCATTGCTGTTGGCGATGCATTTGTATTATACCTTCGAATTCTCTTGCCGGGCCCGTGCTCATCTTTTGACGTGACTGTGACCGTCAATGTTCTTTTCACATGGACCGATTTGACTTAGTACTTCACTTTTCAAACCGGATCCATTTTGATTGTTTTTTTTGTTTTTTTTTTGTTTTTGTTTGGTGACTGTTTTGTTCTGATTTAGTGTGGAAACGTGCTGACTGTGTTTTAACCATGTTAGGGGGTCTATCTGATCACGGCTTTTTTAGTTGTTTTTATCTCATGTTTTTCAATGCGTGAGACTTCATTCACTATTTTTCTCTTTCTTGTCTTCTCCTTTTTAGAAAACATCGCATATATTTATATTTATATTTATTACATCTCAAGACTCGGTGGAAACAGCGGCCAATGTTAACTTTAAAAGAGAGTGGGTGATTGCCAACCACGGCGATAAATAAAAGTAAGGGGAGGGAAAAAGAAAGAGTAGCAAAATGAACAGCAACAACAACTCCGTAAAGAAAGATAATGTCAAATAAAAACAGTGAAAAACACAGAGACGCAAAGGACATGTGGATAATGAGCTATTTATGTCGTATTAATTAGGGGCGGCACTGATCTTAAACAGGCGGAGGGAGGTCAGATCCTTAACTTCTATGGGTAGAGTGAGCCAAACAGAATAAGCAATAAAGAGAGGGGAGCACAAAAGAGTGGATGAGTTACACTTAGGGAGTAAGAGCGAGTTTCTACTTCTTAGAGAAGAGAACCAATTAAAACACATGAGATGAGGTGGGCACAACTCAGGCTTAATAGAATGGACAAGAGAAGCCAGGTGTGCACTGCGTCCATGTGATAACGGGGTTGTGTGAGCGATTTTATAAAGGGCGGATGATGAGAGTATGCGGGGTTGACGGAGGAGAATTTTAAGGATTTTCTTGTGGTGTATTTCAAAATTTGCAGCAGCGGAAGAGGGTAATCCAACCCAAGGCGTATTGGCATAATCAAATATTGGCCGAAGGTAGGCTAAATAAAAATGAAGCTTACAAGAAAGTGGGAGGTAGGAGCAGTGGGGGGGGGGGGAGAATTCCTAAGGATTAACTTGATTTTTTACAGATACTTCGTAGTTGCGTGACAATACTATCAGTCCTCCAGGACTGCAAGGACTTTGCATCAATCGTCTAGCTATCATCAATTTTATTTCATGGGAAATGTATTTTTGTCCTGTGATAATTATGTGAACTCCACCACACTCTTCCTCTAGTATGATGTCAAATACAATGGGATCGACAAACGCAGTGCCAGTGTACTAGTAGTAGTAGGAGGAGAATTGCTTGTATGCCGATGACAATAAAATGCTTCTCAAGATAATACTCGTATTGCATGAAGTAACTGTTTTGATGTCACAAACATGACATTGTGTCAGTGAAATTGCATCGTGACAACAACTCATTGCATTTCCATCTTGGAGAAGAATGTTTGACTGACGGTAACGCTGTACAGATTGTTTAAATCATCTCATTTCAATTTATTTGCAGTGAAGTAAACACTGTGGAGTACACTACAATGTTGGTGTGTCTGTGCGTCTTATTATTATTATTATTATTATTATTATTTTCGTAATACGTATTCGCATGCAACGACGCAAATCCACACAATTCAGTAGACACTTTTTCTATCAAACGTTTTCTTTCCCTTCTCTTCAGGATAGTACAGGGAATGTTGGAAATTATAAAAACACATAACTATATAGAGAATGAAAGAAAGAAAAAGTCAACACTTCAACATAGGTGTTAAAATGATTAAAGTGTTAAAAACTCAAAAACAAACAGCTGCAAGTTGTAGACAAACACGTTGAACACATCAGGGAACACGTGTCACACTTTCACGAGGTGTGACACCAAACAACTGCAACGATAACACATTCTCCTTCTGTACACATAGTTCTGGATCTAGTTTACGAATATACAGAGCTTCTAACACAGCAAGATGTAATTTAGACCTTCCACGAGTCAAAATCGAAAAGATATCATCACTATACAACTTACGACAACTAGCACTGCCCGACAAATGACGCTTCATGGACGATGTCCGATCCAAGAAACTTGCGAGAACTTTTTAACAACCCTAAACGGACTACATCCTGCATTAAAATTCACTGCAGAAGGTGAACGGGACGGTGTGATATCCTTCTTAGATGTCAATATTACCCGCAACAACGACACCAAGAGTTTAGACATGACGGTTTACAGAAAACCCACCTCTACTGGCTTGTATATTCCATGGGGAAGCTACACACCAACTAAATCCAAAGTTCACCTTGTCAAAGCACTAGTCTATCGTGCCCATCGAATCTGCTCTCCTCACCTTCTTCAAGAAGAACTGAGGCGGCTCACATCAATTTTGACAAACAATGGATACCCCTCGTCACTACTAACATAACTTATTAACAACAAACCAATCACGCAGGATCCGAAACCATTTTGACCGGACAGGTGCCCCGTGGTACTACGCTTACCCTGGGTGGGTGCTGGTTCTGCGCGCGTCGAGAAGGAGGTGCGCAACATTGTCTGTTCGTCTTACCCGTGCGTGAAATTGTATTTAGTATTTGGAACGACGCGTGCGTTCAGTGTGAAGAAGGACGTTCTACCTACCCTTAGTAGAAGCAACCTTATCTATTTTTTTCAGTGCCGAGAATGTGAAGATCGGTACGTAGGTAGAACCCTTCAACACCTGGGCGCACGCATCCGTCAACATGTGCCGTTAGGTCTTGTTCCTGTTGACGCTCGTGGTACTCGTCCTCGTCGTGGCCGTCCTCCAAAATGTGCTGTGCAGTCCGATACTGGAACGCCTTTGTCTGCGTCCAGTGTAGATGTACGCATGCGCGCCTCCGCCTCGACGGGCGAAGAGCTTGGCCCATCTCAGACAAGCGTGAGGAAGCGAGAGAGACCGTCTCGAAAACCACCCAATGTGACACTGGAGCTCATAGACACCGGAAGAGTTACCAGAAGCAAGGTGAAGAGACGGAGTACTGGGGATCTGAATACGTCGATAATGGAAGTGACAACAACGATCAACAAGAGGAAACGAGGAAGACCAAGAAGTGACACGAAAACGACCATGAAATCAACAAAAACGGACATGAAATCAACGGACGTTGGAGGTGTGGACCGGAGCAACCAACCAAACAAGCCTAACGGAAGAGAACAACGGCAGGCGTCGAAGGTGACAGAGCTAAGTGATCGGACATCGTCCATCAAGCGTCATTTGTCGGGCAGTGCTAGTTGTCGTAAGTTGTATAGTGATGATATCTTTTCGATTTTGACTCGTGGAAGGTCTAAATTACATCTTGCTGTGTTAGAAGCTCTGTATATTCGTAAACTAGATCCAGAACTATGTGTACAGAAGGAGAATGTGTTATCGTTGCAGTTGTTTGGTGTCACACCTCGTGAAAGTGTGACACGTGTTCCCTGATGTGTTCAACGTGTTTGTCTACAACTTGCAGCTGTTTGTTTTTGAGTTTTTAACACTTTAATCATTTTAACACCTATGTTGAAGTGTTGACTTTTTCTTTCTTTCATTCTCTATATAGTTATGTGTTTTTATAATTTCCAACATTCCCTGTACTATCCTGAAGAGAAGGGAAAGAAAACGTTTGATAGAAAAAGTGTCTACTGAATTGTGTGGATTTGCGTCGTTGCATGCGAATACGTATTACGAAAATAATAATAATAATAATAATAATAATAATAAGACGCACAGACACACCAACATTGTAGTGTACTCCACAGTGTTTACTTCACTGCAAATAAATTGAAATGAGATGATTTAAACAATCTGTACAGCGTTACCGTCAGTCAAACATTCTTCTCCAAGATGGAAATGCAATGAGTTGTTGTCACGATGCAATTTCACTGACACAATGTCATGTTTGTGACATCAAAACAGTTACTTCATGCAATACGAGTATTATCTTGAGAAGCATTTTATTGTCATCGGCATACAAGCAATTCTCCTCCTACTACTACTAGTACACTGGCACTGCGTTTGTCGATCCCATTGTATTTGACATCATACTAGAGGAAGAGTGTGGTGGAGTTCACATAATTATCACAGGACAAAAATACATTTCCCATGAAATAAAATTGATGATAGCTAGACGATTGATGCAAAGTCCTTGCAGTCCTGGAGGACTGATAGTATTGTCACGCAACTACGAAGTATCTGTAAAAAATCAAGTTAATCCTTAGGAATTCTCCCCCCCCCCTCCCACTACGCTGTCGGCACAGCGTGTTTGTCTACTGAGCTAACTGGGTTCTTACACGGCCTACCACGCTTTGGCCGCTTTGCTCTGGCTGCTGGTGGTAATAAGTGCAACGGCACATTTGCCTGTTCCTGTGCCACCACCGTCCGCACCATCTGGGGTGCCGTGGGTGGCTGGGGCTGGGGTGGGTTCGCCATCAGTGACTTGGCCACCACTTCTCGACCCACTCCGAACGGCAGCGGAGCCTACTCTAGCACAACATCATCGACCTGGAATGGAGGAGGGGCCACCGAGAGACACTGAACCCTCACCTCGGCAGTTGCCCTTGCCTCCGCCTGAGCCACCCCCTTTACCTTTGGTGACTACCGAGACGGTGGTCCCCCCGGTGCTGGGATCCACGGTGCCGACTGTGTCTGGACAGAGAGGAAGATCATCGACAAACCAAAATGGAACCAATATCCTTACCCATAGACCCAGAAGAAGCACAGCAAACTATTCACTTGAAATTTATGCACGGAATGGACTTGGCCCACGCAAAATGGACATTGGAAATGGGTGGGCAGTAGCAGAGAACCCAGCAACGGTGACGCGGAGCAGCGGTCAAACGACTTGTGATGCTGGTGGAGATGATGGAGCCATGTTGGAGGGTGATAAGGAGTGCGATCAGATTGAGCATCAAACGGATGATGAGGAAGTGACTGATGATGATGATGGTGGTGATGAGGACGATGATGATGAAGATGAGACGGAGGACGAGGATAAGGCGGAGGAGGTTGAAGGAAAGGAGCGGGATGAGACGGAAGAGAGCGACGTGAGCAAAAAGTCAGCTGTATTTTGTCACTTGTTATCACGTCCAGATTGTCTTAGTGTGTACGATGATTCTCACTTTTCTGTTTTGTGCCGTGCAAGTTATGTTAAGCAGTTGAAGGTTCTGGAAGCTGTATGTATTCGTGTGCATAATCCTGTTCTTTGTAAACAAAAGAAGCATGTAGTCGCGCTTAAGTTGTTCTCGTAGCTGGTTATCAGATGTAAATGTTGTGTCATGTTGCACTGTATCACCTCATGCTTTGTGCCTGCACTCAGTTATAATATGTTAGCACTATGTTTGACACCTATTATGTAATGCTGTAGCACTTCCTTTTTTTCACACTTTTAATTATGCTGTTATAAAATGTTCTATTTTTGTACACAGTACCCTCATTTCCGATACTATTCACTGATGAGCGGAACACGAAAATCGATTTTGAATAACATAAAAATCCTTAAAAATTCCATGAACTCGTTGTTGTCTGGCCATGTCTGCATCTATTATTATTATTATTATTATTATTATTATTTGAAACTCGGATGTTGAGCTTATTATTATTATTATTACGAAGTAGTGAAAGTAAGTAAAGTCGGCGGAAAAGCGCGAGCTCCGGTGTGGGGAGCAAACTTTTATTATTATTATTATTATTATTATTGTAACTGATTTGAGGGAAAGAGACATATTATTATTATTATTCTCTTTCCCTCAAAACCAGTTAATTATTATTATTATTATTATTATTATTATTATTCTCGTATCCGTCCCGAATGGGACTCACGACTGCAGAATTAACTGTGAGCATGTGTGTGTGAGAGTGGGAGAACGAAGTGAAAAAGAAAAGAAGAGTCTCGTAATAAAGGTCAAATTTAAGAAGAGCAGTACTAGACTAAATGGCTGAGCAGGTGTAACTCCATTGTTTTCTGTCGCGGGCATAGGTGCCGAGATCACGAAGGTAGCTGGGCTTAAAAATGCAGATAGGTGTGAGGCGGATGTCTCGCTGGAGACTTGTGGTGAGGCAAGAGCAGGGTGCACCTATTCGAAAGGGCTGACTGGTAGCATATGGCCAGAAAGCAGTGAGAGCAACATTTGCAGGGATGTCACTTGGCTGGCGTAATATATGTTCTAATAGCTTCCACCTGTCCCGCTTGGCCATTTCAGATACAGAGCACTGGCCAGTAACAGCATATAAATCTGCATTAAATTTTGAGATGACATCTGGGTAGGTAATTCCAAGGGTACACCGCAGCTGTTTCCTATGAAACACATCTAGGCGCTTTTCTTGTGCACTGGACAGGCCATGGCAGGCAAGATTGGTAGAACGAAAGTGTTGTATAAACGAATTTTAATGGGTGTAGAAAGCAGGTTGTGTTTGAACCATAACTTCAGAGTGTCTCCAAATGCTCTTGCAGCCAAGCCAATACGGCGCGTTACGTCCTCCCCGGAGCCGTACAGTGAGCCGAGTGTCTTCACCTGTCGCCAAGCTTCTTTACCACGAGTTGTGCCGACATTTCTAGATGTTGTAGAGGTGGCATCTCCCAAAGTGGGTTCCAGGAAAATACGGATCCATTCAGTCTTACTGGTATTGATGGTAAGACCCCATTCGGAGAAGACACCTGCGATGCCGGGTAGGGTGCTGGTAAGGAATGATTTTGATGTGGAGATGAAGTCTACGTCATCGGCGTAAGCTGTTTCTTCAGGTAGAATGTTGTCTGCTGATGGTCGGGCTGGCAGTCGGTCACGTACCATTCGTAGGGCTGCTTCCAAATAAACCGTGAACAGTACCGGTGACAATCCATCGCCCTGGGGGACCCCCACTGAGCTGTCCCAAAAGGTGAGAACTGTGCTTCGTTCAGGCGAACTGTCAGCGCTGTGACAGGTAGCAGGTACCTAACCAGTCGTAAACCGTCCGCGTCTCCGATTTTCTCTTGCTTCATGACATCAAGCAGCTTTGTGCGGTTTATTGTGTCAAAATCCTTGCTCAGGTCCAACCCTAGCACGTAGATAGTGGTGTTGAAGCGTTCAACAATTGATGCCAGGATCCGTTTGCAAAACACAATGTCTGCGGTTGATCTGTTCTGACGGAACCCTGCTTGCGATGGAGATATTTATCGCTCTACGTCAGCTTTGATCCGGCTAAGTGTGATGAGGGAGAAGATTTTTCTGGCAGTGGTCAGCAATGTTATCGGATGCAAATTGTTCATGGGGCCTTTGGGTTTACCTGGCTTATGCAGAGCGATTAGTACACCATCTCAAAGGGACGCTTGGCTGTGCTGAGTGAATACATCGTTGAAAATGCTGCTTAAGGCATTCTGCAAGTGCAGGGCCTCCGTACTTGACCAGCTCGGCCGGTATGTCATCAGGCCCGCAGGAGCGTTGGTTCTTTAGACGACTCATTGCGCTCGCTACCTCTGCTGTGGAAATCGGTTTATCGAGGGGTTTCGGTGTTCCTGTAAATGGCGTAACCGCTGGCTCTGCAGCAGTAGGAGAGAATTTCCCAGTGTAATGTTCAGCTATTCTATCCGCTTGCTCTCCTGGCCCAAGGACAGCCTTGCCGTTGCTGTCTACAATGGTTAAATCTCGTGGGCACTTTGGTTTCAGCAGTTTTATCGCTGCAAACATCATTGGCCCGTTCTTGAGAAACTCCACTTCTCTGATGCGGCTCTCAAGATGCTGTAACGCCAGCTGTCGAGACAGGATTCGGATTTCCTTCTGCACTCTGTTACGCTGCACTCGCAGCTCATTTCTTCTATTCATGTTTGGTGTGCTATTAAGATCCATACGCAGCTTCCCCTGCAATTCTGAGAGTTTGTCTACCTCATCCGTAGCGTAGGGTAGCTTGCTTCTGCTCGGTGTGTATCCGACTACTCCAGTTGCCAACTTGCGAATGGATGAGCATGTTGCCGTGAGTCTTGCGCTTGCTTCTGCCACATTGAGGAGTTGAGGTGCCGCTTCTTCCATTTTCGTTTGGTATAATTTCTGCATTTTCTTGTCATTGACCAGTCTCATGCATGGTGTTGAACTTGCGTTTGCGGATTGTTTTGCCTCGGTTCCACACAGGGTGAAGAGCTTTAAATTTTACACGGGCCATAACTAGGCTATGGTCAGAAAAGGTTCTTGTGCCAGCGTATGACCTGGCGTCCTGCAGCACAGCTCTTTGTCTCGAGTTACATAGTATGAAGTCGATCTGATTGAAGATCCTTTTACCGGCTGGGCTCTTGCCTTCCCAGGTGGTTAGAGTTCGGCTTGGGTGTTGGAAGCACGTATTGCTCATTAAAAGATTGTTCATTTGCGCAAATTCAATGAGAGCGTCTCCATCGGCATTCCGCTTGCCTTTACTGTATTTTCCCAGGCACTCTTCATAACGTTGCTTACGGCCCACTTTGGAATTGAAGTCTCCCAGCACCGGTATAGCTGAGCTGCCCCGGACGTCGTGTAATACTTTCGTCAACTGGTCATAAAACTTATCGAGGACTTCTGATTTTCGCTCCGATACAGCTGACGTGGGACCGTACGCGTTCACCAAGCTCAGCAAAACGTCCGTTTTCCACAGCTGCAAGGTAACTTGAATTGCAGTACGGCCAGCCGCTCGCAGTCCGCCGGTGTCCAGGAGCGGTGCAGGAACGGGCTCAGGCGGGGGGCTACCAAGAAGCCCAAGCCGTACGCAGGAGTTTCTGGCTTGAACGTCAATAGTCAATATCTTCAAGCGTTGCCGTTACGTTGTCTTGTATCTTGGTTTCTTGTAGAGCGACGACGTCCGCGGAGTAGGTCCTTGCATCCGCCACCAGGTCGCGTATCTTCGCGTCCATAGTAAGTCCACGTACGTTGAAAGTCGCCACTCGCCATTCCGTTGTCAAACAATTACTATCACAATTATCATTGATGGTCGGAACCATGGAAGAAGAAAATATAAATAAACGTTGAATGATTGGAAGAATGAATGCGTCGATACTGCCGATAGACTAAGTTGGTGTTATTCCTAGCTTACCAGAGAGGCAAAGAAAGGAACTCTCTAGGCAGTCAACCCAGAGTCCACGCTACCTGACGAGCCAGGAGCTCAAAAATGAGCAACCGGCCGCCAGGAGCATACCTGTGCGTACCTGTGCGTCTCGAGTGTGCAATAACGATCTTATTCCTCAGATTACTAATAGATTATTGCCCCCACCGTCACCTGTTCACAGGTCTTTGAGTGGATGGATTTTTCATTGATCATCACATTCGCTGAGTACAGTGGTTGTGTGCTTCCATGCATCAGTACGGTAATAAGCGTATCATTGTGCTATCTAAGATATTTGTTGCAGGTGTGCTGATCTTCAGAAGCTTGCGGAATTGAGTGCTGCTGAACATATGCATGGTCATGAGCAATGGTGAAGCTTGCTATTACACTCTCAGCATGTGCTAGTACTATGCTGACTACTACACTATGTTACTCTCTTACACTAAAAGATGCGTGCACCCGTCCACGTATGTATTCGTTTCAAATAATTATTTGTTATCCCTCTTTACTTTACGTGTAAATAGGTGAACGTTTGCATGGCTGTTGGAGTTGCGTGTGTATTGTGTTTCAACTCTTTTCTTGGTGTTTTCTTGGCGTTGTATAAGTTTGTGTGTGGGGGGGGGGGGGGGGGCGCGCCCACAATATTTTGAAAACAATAGCAATGGCTCTCCATCATAGCCTATTCTCTGTCGATTCTTGGTATTTTTCTTGGTTTTTTCTCGGCGTTGTGTGAGTGTGTGCATGTGTGTGTATGTGTGTGTGCGTGCACAATGATTTGAGAACACCACATGATTTAGATCTTGTAATTTGCAGCGTCTGCGAAGAGACCACTTGATTTGAGGATGGTGTTTGTAGGGTTTTTCATGTAATGAAGTGGAGCCTCAATACTAAGTATAAGTCTTATTTTTTATCTTGAGAAGTGAATGATATAAAGGATTAAAGGGAGAGGCAGTTTTATGGTTAATATTCACTGCTCACAGCAGATCCTATGTCTAATTTTGAACTCTGGGATAGGGGATGCCTAATTGGCTGGACTTTATACAGGGTGTGTTGTCCACATTGAGAGTCTACTTGATTTCAAAGTTTGGACTCTGTACAGTGGATTTTGGACTATATAGGGGTTAAGCCAATTGGCTCGACTCCATACAGGCTGTTGTGAACCCTCTGGTTCTCTAAAGTGTCAGGAACGAACGACCCCACACGGCACGAGGACAACTATTTATTCTCAACAGTATATTTCACTTCCATCGACTACTTGTAACAATAATGAACAAATGAATGAATGAATAACACTAAAACCACCAGGTAGTCATAGCGTGAAAATGAGAAAAGCATACACATACCACATGCAACAACAGCGCACACAGCAAAACCGCACATAGCGCATGTAGCGTATGCCACGTCGTAAAAATCAGCGGTACGGCGGCGTCGGGATGCAACTGCATTGGAACGAACACAATGTCACAAGCGAGAAGGCCTTTCACTCTCGAGAACTTGTGGTTTCACAACACAGGCAGTGATGTCCATCTAAACTTTCAACTCACACTTGTTTCCAAGTTTGGACTCTGTAGTGCCTCTGCACGATAGGCCACTCACGCATCTGAAACAGTTACCGACCACTTTCTCCGTTTGGCAGGAGCAGATTGGACCAAGACATCATCGTCAAAGCACTACATGGTTGATAAACCCAACGGGGCTTGTCATGCCTTATGAAGTTATGGTCTCATGCAAGTACTATGTGTGTGCGTTTATGTAGGCAAAGTGCCAAACAGAATATCGTACATGACAGAAAATACACATGAAAGAGAGCGCGCTAATGTTTGTCTTACCATCATGGCTTGGGAGAGGACTTTCGACGCTGAATGGCAGGATGTCGAGCACGTACCACAGAAGCTCACACAGACACAACACCAACTGTAACTGCTGTGCGTCTGTTTATATAAGCACTGAGATCGAACAAGTACGATAACTTGGAGAAGAAAATAGAAATCCTGGGAGGATTCAAAGTGTGAATTAATTCTCTTCAAGCACCAGTGTGGGGAGCAAAGCCTTTCCGAGTTCCTGATACAGAGTGTGTTCAGTCTAAACAGATGCAGTGTTTGTCCTTTCTTGAGAAGTGTGACACACGCGCACGCCTAAGGGCTTTCGATCCAATCTGAAGAGGTTCAATGCGTAAGCGTAATAAAGCATGCCTATACAGGTATTGCATAGCAACAGTAGCGTAACATAGTTACCACAGAGATGGCGTGCTTCAGAAACATCCTGAGCAATCGATGGCGACGGCGTACCTGCCAGGCTGTCCGATTGAACAGCTTGCCGGCTAACTAGTGAAGAAGAGAGGTAATTCAGAGATACGGTCCGTGAAAATCAAAACAAGGTGAAGCCCAACGACGAAGCAACAAGGGATTTGTCTCGACCCGTGTTTGCCTTCATTGTAAAAAATAAAGGGAATAGAAAGGAGTAAAATGCTGCTGAACATATGCATTGCCAGGACCAATAGTAAAGATTGCTATCACACTCTCAGCATGCACTAGTACTGTATTATGCCGACTACTGACACTTTGTAAACTTCTTACACAGCACTCGCTAACATTTTTATTCCTCTTGTGGTGTAGTTATGTGGACGTTTTCATTGCTGTTGGCGATGCATTTGTATTATACCTTCGAATTCTCTTGCCGGGCCCGTGCTCATCTTTTGACGTGACTGTGACCGTCAATGTTCTTTTCACATGGACCGATTTGACTTAGTACTTCACTTTTCAAACCGGATCCATTTTGATTGTTTTTTTTGTTTTGTTTTTGTTTTTGTTTGGTGACTGTTTTGTTCTGATTTAGTGTGGAAACGTGCTGACTGTGTTTTAACCATGTTAGGGGGTCTATCTGATCACGGCTTTTTTAGTTGTTTTTATCTCATGTTTTTCAATGCGTGAGACTTCATTCACTATTTTTCTCTTTCTTGTCTTCTCCTTTTTAGAAAACATCGCATATATTTATATTTATATTTATTACATCTCAAGACTCGGTGGAAACAGCGGCCAATGTTAACTTTAAAAGAGAGTGGGTGATTGCCAACCACGGCGATAAATAAAAGTAAGGGGAGGGAAAAAGAAAGAGTAGCAAAATGAACAGCAACAACAACTCCGTAAAGAAAGATAATGTCAAATAAAAACAGTGAAAAACACAGAGACGCAAAGGACATGTGGATAATGAGCTATTTATGTCGTATTAATTAGGGGCGGCACGGATCTTAAACAGGCGGAGTGAGGTCAGATCCTTAACTTCTCTGGGTAGAGTGAGCCAAACAGAATAAGCAATAAAGAGAGGGGAGCACAAAAGAGTGGATGAGTTACACTTAGGGAGTAAGAGCGAGTTTCTACTTCTTAGAGAAGAGAACCAATTAAAACACATGAGATGAGGTGGGCACAACTCAGGCTTAATAGAATGGACAAGAGAAGCCAGGTGTGCACTGCGTCCATGTGATAACGGGGTTGTGTGAGCGATTTTATAAAGGGCGGATGATGAGAGTATGCGGGGTTGACGGAGGAGAATTTTAATTTCTTGTGGTGTATTTCAAAATTTGCAGCAGCGGAAGAGGGTAATCCAACCCAAGGCGTATTGGCATAATCAAATATTGGCCGAAGGTAGGCTAAATAAAAATGAAGCTTACAAGAAAGTGGGAGGTAGGAGCAGTGGGGGGGGGGGGAGAATTCCTAAGGATTAACTTGATTTTTTACAGATAATTCGTAGTTGCGTGACAATACTATCAGTCCTCCAGGACTGCAAGGACTTTGCATCAATCGTCTAGCTATCATCAATTTTATTTCATGGGAAATGTATTTTTGTCCTGTGATAATTATGTGAACTCCACCACACTCTTCCTCTAGTATGATGTCAAATACAATGGGATCGACAAACGCAGTGCCAGTGTACTAGTAGTAGGAGGAGGAGAATTGCTTGTATGCCG